AGAAAGTTTCTTTTTTTACCATAAGTGTTGTCTACTCACACGATGATCCTGTATAAATAGCAAAGGCTAAGATTGCTTTATAAGGGAGAAAGGTAGAAAATACAAAGAATTGTCCCGTAACCGTTTTTTTCTGTTTCTTCTGTAACTTTAACATACCACGCGCGAATAAAGCCAAAGTTCCAGAAAAAATTATGTGACATCTTCAAAACTCATCATAAAATGAATAAACTATAATGCGTTCGATAGCCTACACTTTGTTCTATCTGACACACTATAAATCAAAAAATCGATAAATTTGACGAAAATCAGCTTTTTAGGAAAACTTCTTTTGCGTTTTTCTCATAATATGGATTTTTGTCTTCACATTTCCGTATTTCCCAAATTTCTCCACCATTTTGAATTCTAGAAAGCTAGGTTAGTCCTAAAATGAAGGGAATGATCAGCGCTACAATTTGACAGAGCCGAAATTTTCGATTTTGCGTTTAATATCTGATGAGGTTCAACTGTTTTACGATATACACCCTATTCATATCATATCTTTTAAAGTAAGCTTGAAACAAAAGATACTACAACACAAAAGGAAAATCGGACTCTGTCAAGTTGTAGCCCCGGATCTGGGCTACATTTTAAAACCAACTCGAGCTCTCTAGCATTTGAAATGGCAGAGAAATTTGGGAAACGGCGAAGCCCACTGTTGACCCTTAATCTTAAGGTATCTTGAGAGAAGACTCAATATTTCGAGCTGAAATTTTTACTGTGAAGTACCTAGCCCGAGATACACCTCCTGTAAAAATTTCAGCAAGATTGGAGGATCGAAAGCTAAAAATCAAGGAAAAGTGTGGATACAAAGTTGTTCAGAATCAGATTCGCTGGAATATGAACGAAGGATTTTTCAACAACTTGATGAACCATATCGGATGGCACCAAAATCGAGCCTTGAAAAGTGACTTTTTAAAAATTTATTTAAATTTCAAAAATGGGTAAAAGACCGGAAAAAATAAAAGACTTATTTTTTCAAAAACTACAGGTCCGTAAGCTGAAAAAATTTTAGAATATAGATTTTAACCTGTTCTCTGCAAACTAATAGAATTTGGACCAAATATCTAAATACATGGACCTCTTCCTCCCACCACATTAACTCCAAACCGTAAAATTACTTGAACGCATATTTGAGTAGGTCTTTGTGTCTATTGTCAGAATCCATATTACATCAAACACTTTTACTAACTTTTTAGAAAAGGTACTAAAAAGTCCTAGGTCTTTCCAAAACCTTACAGTTTTTGAGAATCAATTCGACTTGTTGGAAGATAGGCAGGACTACTAGAGCTATGTCTCCTCTTCAAAATAAGTTGCTTCGCAAGCCTGTATAGTTGTTTTTCAAAAGTTACACGGAATTGACGGAAACCACTAGAATTGCAAATTTTAATTAAGACTTTATCGTTTTTCATTGTCTATTTCCAATATTTTTCGATTAGCTTTTATTGTAGAGCAATAAATCAAAGTAAATTATGAGACAATGGAAACAAAAACTATATTTAGATTGAGCTTCCGTATGTCGAAAGACAGACAGATGTACTCAAAACGTGGTTACGTCGTTTTGCTAGAAAAACACGTCCAGACGTATATCTTCCTTTTATATTGAAGCCTTCGCCAAGTGTACAAACTTATTTCCAAATTAAAGACTCAACTCCAAAACATCTAGAATCTAATGCTGTGTACTCTGTCGAATGTTCAGGATGTACTGTCGGATACTTAGGCAAAACAGAACGCCGAGTGGTCAGACGATTTCGGAAGCACGGCATGGCAAAAGACAGATTCCCTGATACTATTTCTTGAGTGAATTTTATATCTCAATTTCTATGTTTGTTATATTTTCAACGTTGAAATTTGGACATAAGTTCTCTCTGAAATTATCACGCGACGTTACAGCATGTACCAGAAATTTAACACCAATGAGTGTATTTAGTGTAGATTCATATGGAAAATCTATTCGAGATCTAACTAAAGAAAGCGCAACATTCATGTGGTTCCAGTTTCTACTCGACATATTACTTCGTCTACCTCAAAATACTGCTGCTAAAACTGAACTACTGCATGAATGTCGTTTGTCGTACAAAGACAATATTGTTGAACAAAAGAAAATTGATGAATTTGAAAATGACTATACATCAACTTTCATTTTTGACCCATATTCAGTAATTTCAGTTCACCGACGATACCTGGAAAAATGAGAGTTATTAAATTAACTTGAGAGATACTTCAGGAAAAGGGGTAGTATATCTGGAATCCGCATCAAATTCCCCATCGATTGATGTATGCTGTTTCCTTGTAAACCGCCCCCAGGAAAAGTGACACGATTTGCTATGCACAGACTGGAGAGTACCTTTCAAATGCATCCGATGGCACTGAGCTTGTATACTCAAACACAAAGTTTCAATAATATGTATTTCAAATCTTAGAAGTGCTAGATAGAAGAAACCAAGTCGAATTCGGAACACTGCGATTGGTATCAGAGTCCTCGCTATTTCTCATCTACGCAAACAATGAAAAAGTATTATGAATGGAATAAAGATTTTTTTTCTTGATCTATTTAGGTTATCGGGAAAAAAACTTTCTGCTTTGTTAATCACCTTATAGATGAGATACAACAGAGTCGGTATATACATAAGTAATAAGGACTATGTCCTAATTAATTGTCCCTGAAAGTCATATGAAATAAATGGCGGCGCGGCGTCGGCGTCCGCATCGCACACAAATGCAATAACTCGGTAAGTGTAAGGGTCTCTGTCATGAAAGTGATACAGTGTAGTAATGTCAGCAACATTTTTGCTCATATTATTTTTTACCTTGCTTGTCGAAGTGTTGATGTCTATGAAGTTTTGCAGTCTTCTATGGCGAACTTTTCATCCAAACTTTATCGGTATGCTACCTGCTTTTTCAGCTTATTAAACATAATATCCTTAGGTTTTGATAGAGCTTAATATTGATCTCAATTCATGTTGGGATTGAATGATTCACTCGACTGAACAATAGCGTTCCGAATTAATATTTTATTTAAACGCAATTCCGGAAGTTTACCATCATGAGCTTACCTACGGTAATGTTGAAATGACAACACCACTTTATGATGTGAGCTATACGTTTTTGTACGATCGTTCATTGCTTTATTTACAGTACAGGTGTGATGAAAAAGAGTAAGAAAGAAGCCACGTTTTTTTGCAAACAAAGCAACTAAAAAATTATTAATAACGTCACGAATACAAACCTGTGACTGTGTGCAAATAATCAGAACTTTTTCTGCATTGTTCACTAAGTATAGCTTGTTTCCGCTTACCACCGCACATTATAATGACCAAGAAACATTATTCTAAGAAATCCTTCCATCACAAAAGTCGGAAAGAGTTTTTTCTTGATGGAACAGTAAGGAATATTCGTCATGGAACAGGCGCCACAACTTGTCACCCGACTACTCGTTGCAGCAAACTAGAAAAAAGTACTAAAGTCAGAGCGAAATCATTTCCGCAAAGTAAGAAAGTTGCAACGATGAGACAATCTAAAACTAGAAAAACATCAATGTATAAGAAGAAAAGTATGGAAATATTGAACACGGTGAAAGGGCCAAACTTGGAAGATTTTCTTATTATATGGCTAGATGCTAACGTTAGCCAAGAAAATACATTGTTAGAAACAAAAACTAGACTAAGACATATTGTTAATTATCTAAAAGTTTTTTGGAAGGTGGAGGAATGTATGAATTACATACTGTCAACAGAAAAAGAAAAAATATTTTTAATCGTTTCGGGTTCAATCGGCGAACATTTTGTACCATTAATTCATGATAAACAACAAATTGAAAACGTTTATGTATTCTGTACGAACAAATTGAGACATGAGATTTGGGCGACGAATTTCTCAAAAATTAATGGCGTTTTTACATTTGAAAACGATTTATTTCTTCAATTATCACGCGACGTTACAGCATGTACCAGAAATTTAACACCAATGAGTGTATTTAGTGTAGATTCATATGGAAAATCTATTCGAGATCTAACTAAAGAAAGCGCAACATTCATGTGGTTCCAGTTTCTACTCGACATATTACTTCGTCTACCTCAAAATACTGCTGCTAAAACTGAACTACTGCATGAATGTCGTTTGTCGTACAAAGACAATATTGTTGAACAAAAGAAAATTGATGAATTTGAAAATGACTATACATCAGATAGATGTATTTGGTGGTATACACGTGATTCATTCTTCTATCGTTTATTAAATAAAGCATTTCGTACTGAAGATATTGACATTATATTCAAGTTTCGCCTTTTGATAACCGATCTTTATAGGCAGGTAGAACAATTACATGCTGAATATCTTAAAGAAAATACTGATGATGTCCTCACAGTCTATCGGGGGCAGGGTATTTCATTAGATGAACTGAAAAAATTTCAAGAAAATATCGGTGGTTTAGTATCATTGAATAGTTTCTTATCGTCCACAAAGTCAAGTGAAGTAGCATTAGAATTTGCTGGCGAGAAATCAATAAATAATCCGTTTGTCGAACCGGTCGTACTCCAAATGGAGATTAATTTGAATGCTAAAACAAAACCATTCGCAAACGTTCAAAAATTTAGCTATATGAAGGATGAAGGTGAAATATTAATATCAATGGGAACTGTTTTTAAAATTGAATCTGTTGAACAGCTGCCAAGTGGTCACTGGTTTATCGAATTAACATTAAGTGAACTAGAAAATAAAAAGGTAAAAGACGTTATTGAACATTATCAAAAACAAATTGGTGAAACACCAAGCCTACTAACATTAGGTAGTTTCTTGATGGATATGGCCGAATATGGTAAAGCAAAACGGTATTATAAAATGGTACTGGAAGAATTATCGCCAACTGATCATAAAACTCGGGGAAGAATATATAATGCGTTGGGTTTAATTTATCGTCGAACGGGAAACTTTGATTTATCATTAAAAATGTTCCGAAAAGCACTTAGATTTGAGTTTATCGAAGAGATATATCATAATATTGGAACGGTTTATTTAGAGAAAGGAAACTACAAGAGAGCACTCAGATATTGTAAATATGCATTAAAATCTGTAAGAAAAATGCGAGGTTCAGATCATCATTCTTTAGTTGAAAGCTATCAAGATATTGGAACAATTTATAGACTGACCGGTCGTTATCGATTAGCATTGGAAAATAGCGTTAAAGCTTTGCTACTTGATTTAAAGTATTTACCCAAAAACCATCCAGATTTAGCGATTTCTTATCTGAATGTTGGTATGGCTTATTTTGAAAATGGTCAATATGAAATAGCACTCGGCTATTTCGAGGATGTTTTAAAAATTCAACAAATGATATTAACACCATATCATCCATCGTTAGCAACGACCCATGCAAGTATGGGAACATGTTATCGACAAGAGGGAGAATATACAAGAGCTCTCAAATGTTTCGAGAAGGCTTTGGAAATTGAACATAAAACACTGCCTCATAATCATCCGACAACTGCCAAAACATATAATGCAATCGGTATGCTCTATCGTCATACAGCTGAGTATGATAAAGCGCTGTCAAACTTCGAGAAAGCACTTGAAATACAACTGATGTCGTTAGATTCAAGCCACTCAGATATAAGCGAATCGTATAATAATATTGGATTAATCCATTGGCTTTCAAATGGGGATACAACTGTGGCTGTGCAAAACTACAGAAAAGCTATTGATATTCAATTAAAAAATTCACCACTAAATCATCGATTTCTGGCAGTTATTTATAACAATCTGGGCCTAGTTTATGAATTTACAAATCGTTTAAAGGCAGCGTTGAGATGTTATGAAAAAGCTCTTCAAATGGCATTGAAATCTTCATCAATGCAAATGATGGTGAAATTTGCAGTTAAAGTCGGCGGTCTACCCATTTCAGAGTACAAAAAGAATATACAATTAGTTAAGAAAAAAATCAATGAATATAAATCAAAATAATGAGAGAAAGAAACTGCAGTGTTTATAATTTTGTAATCCTTTAGTTTTTCTCTTTCTCTCAGACAGATTCTGAATCTGTGTTATAGACATCGAGTTGATGTACATCACACAGTTAAAAACAAAGCTCAGTATTTGAAGGTTCAATGAACACTTTTTTACGATATTGAAGCTATAACTTTGTTTCCTTGGCTGTATTTAGGATTATATTGAAAAAAAATATGATGCACCAAATTCGAAATTTCAGCACAATTTTATTTTCTACTATATTATAAAGCGTCACTAATTCGAAGTTGTGGTATTTTTATTTTTGGCTTTATTATACACCATTCGGTAGAGTTTAGCGAGCTAAAAAAAGAGTATCATAGTTGTAATCTTCGTAACTGGTGTTTTGATGAGAAATTTTGAAAGTACTGAAGGAACCCGAAATTTTCCGCTATGACAAATAAACATCAGATCTTATAAGATCCTGGGAGACGTCTTCCACCTGGGAGGTCAAGTCAGGTGATATAGAAATCCAGTTTTCTAACAAAGAGTGGCTTGACGGACTGATTTATCGCAGCACGGCTTAGAGTGGCAAAGGACAGTGTTTCTGTACTGGCATATATATATGTAACTACACCCGTATCGCGGGGGCAAGTAGCATGAGAATGAGCTACCAGACAAAATTTTAATGCTGCTTCTCGCTGCATTCCTACGGATATTCGTGTTTTGAGAATACGTTTCGTTCCAAACAGACTTCTTATTTGTTACTCTCTCAATTAAAAAATATGTATTCTTTCAATTCCTGAAAATGAATTAAATCACGAAAAGGAATTGGGTCAACAACCATTAGATTTATGTCCGGTTTGGCTAAAAAAAATGTTCTTGACGTTTCAACTAAATATTACCGATATGTATGAGAAAATTGCACATCTTTGTCAAAAACTGAACTGGAGCAAAGAGCAAAGTGGTTCATGAACAGTAATCTGTTCTTCTTCGAGGCATTCTTACCACATAAAATTTTAAGTTTGTTATAAGAACTATGGTATATATACTATATATCGTACCAAAATTTATCACTTTAAATCTTTAGGGATTATCGCGATATCAGAAATGAACAAAGTGATCCAGTTGTTCAACAACCTTTAGGTTAAGTGACAAGGACCATAAAATATCAAATAAAAGTCTCGTAGGTGACTCTGCTAGCTCATCAAAATAATTTAAACAATAACTCAGAGTGTTTATTTTATCTGCTTGTTGTCCGATCAGTGTTTTGATCATATCATTTTTGTTAATTTTAATAAACCTTTTGATTTATCTTCTCTAAAATCATTTTTTTCCAATTCATCTATTTTTGTTTGAAAATGCACATATTTGGAGATGGTCTTAGATGGAACTAAACATTAGTGCCCATCATTTGTACTGATAAAGTTTAAAATTTTTGCTTTCGTTAGTCTTTTATCTCAGTTTTTCCAATCACAACCGCAGAACTCGTTGCACTCATTGTGACTTTTCTTGGCACAAGAGGCAAATATCAAAAAGCGAATTATGCAAAGGTTACATACAGAGCTCACGATGAACTGTTCCCAAGTGCCAACTCACTTTCGGATCGAGACTATGTGCATTAGGCAGGCCTCCACAAACCGCAAAGGATTAGATGCTCATGGTTCGTTCTGATAGAGTTATCGAATTTTTACGTTTTTTACGAAAACATGTTTCCTACCATTAAAAATTCGATTCTGTAGTCAAAACGAAAAATCTGAAAGTTTGTCCGTTTGTCGACAACAAACTTTCAGTAACGAATAATCGATTATTTATTCTCGACAGTTGCACTATAATTCAAAATTAATTGCAAAAACACATGTTACAAGTACCATTTTTTGTAACATAAAAGTCGAATTGTCCGTTAAAATTTCTTGCGAACAAGCAACATGCAACTGGAACTATTTTGTCTACTTCTTCTATTGCATTCATCTTCGTGTAAACACAAGAAAAATGTAGGAACTTTGGTTCGTGTTAGAACGTCAAGTACAGTCGGTGTTCTATTTGATGAGCTGCCAGTGGATACTCATAATTATGCACGATCGTTATTAGATAATAAAACAGACGATTATTGGAAAGATCTGGCCCGTCGTCAACTTGATTTAACCCAAGTGCGCCTCGTTTTTCGGCCATTGTACTATCCAGATGTACAGCCACCAACATTTCGTGGTACACTTTCGTTACCATTGCGTGACCAGTTAGAAATTCGGTTGAAAGGTCGGCCGAGGTGGATAAGTGAAAATGGACATGGCGAAAAATGGCAAATTTCGGCGCTGATATATTAAGAAAATCAAACACACATATCACGATATCAGAACCTTTCTTCTACCTACTAAATAAGAGAAAATATTCTTTCTCTGGCAGATATCAACTTTCTCATGCAATACGTCTACTGCGAAGAAAAAATACAAATAAAGTATTGATAAATAACGCATGCAATACATATTTGAACACTTGTTTTGTTAATCTTGATATCGGTACATTTTATCTACATTCACAAACTTTCTTCTTACAAATCGAGGATTTTTTCACTACTTCCATCGGTTTTTTCCTACGTTTAAGGAGGGCGGTTTTGAGAGAAATTGAATTGATTGTGAATGTATATAAATAACGTGAATCGTATCGATTCACTAGGTCCATTGCCTGTAAGTCCACTGAGTGTATTCTCGGAATTAATATTCATTGTGTTGTAACTCGATCTTGCTACTACAGAATTGACCCATGTCTTCAATGTCGTTTAAAAATCGGCGATTATCGCGTTTTTCGAAAAAGTCGCCGTTTAGCCGTGATAAGTTGGCGACTTCTGA